TTCGGTCACAATGTATAGGTTAACTCGTCTAAAAAATGATTTAGTTGACACGTCTAATATATATACTGTCTAATTAAAATTTTGTACACAATTGGAATATTGTAATTAAGTAAGATTTTATAGAGGAGGTGTTAAGCAATTTGCTTTTTGACATTATATGTAATATATCTGGTCTTCTTTACTAACACAACAGCAAAGAGTGGACTAATGTTGTTCAATTGCTTTCCAGCATTCGTCTATTCTTTCAATGCTAATAAATTTATTAATCAAAGAATTATTCAATACGAAGATTATACAAGAGAGTGAATAAATCTCATTACTTGGAGTAACATCAGAGTCCCTGCCAAGAACTTCATTACTCTTTATAAAAATTATAGTATATAAGGAAGTGAATAAATGTTAGAAACCAGGGTATTATTAAGTACTCAAGTAATAACAAGCATTGATGTTTGAAAGTCTATTACTCTTTACGAATGTTGTATTCTATAGCAGTTTAATACTATATGGAACCACTTTTTACTGCTTTAAAATTTAGTACTAGCATTTTTTATTAAGTTTACTGTGCTTACCTGAGAGGTACTTTTTCCTTACTATCACTCCATTCACTAATTTAAACGCAATAGAATGTAACTCTTTAGATTAGACAAATTTTCTGATATTCTGAAAACTTCAATCCATTGAAATTATTTATGTCTTGATTTTGAGCAAATTCAATACTAGATTAAAATATTTACTTTTAATAAACATTTTTAGGGGACGAACATAAGCTATGTTAAAATTAACTACCCCGTCTTTTTTATTTTCATCAGCAATTTTTTTGGGGTTCTTGATCTCATATCCATAGAAACCACACAGTAAATCAAGACATTCTATTGAAATTTTAGGTGTTCTCTTTTTGATATTATATATATTTCCAAAAGTTATATTTTTTATCTTGTTGGGCAGTTAATGGTCATTATCAACACACTGAAAAAATATTTTAAATTAAAATCAAGGTCAACTTTTTGGGCGATTTCACGACAATAGTTCTAACAATAATAATAATAATAATAAATCCTTCTTAATCATCAGAATAAACGTTCGTATATATTTTTAATACCTTAACGCAATTAATATGCATGTACTCTAAAGTTATACATTATTTAGAGGGCTGAAAGGTGTTGCGGCATTATTGGGAAAAGTTTTTTAAGTTCTGAATACATTATATCGAAAATTAAAGGACTGGTAAAACTTTTAATACTTTACTTCTATGTGATGTTATTATGCTATGTTACTCTTCAAATATACCTCATATTTCGATATGAGAATTTTATACATAAGACAAGAAACAAAATATTTCAAGTAAATTTTACACTATTTCTGTACTATTAAACACCAGTACAACACATGGTTAGGTTAGGTTGAAGTGCCCGCCCACAGTCAAGACTCAAAGATGCAAGTCTCGTTATGTTATCTGTAGATTTTATTGTCAAAGTAGTGCGATCTATACCATAATATACCATCCCAAACCCACCGCCTCTCAGGAACACAACATTGCTATCGCTTCTACTGCATTGGAGAGGAATTCTCAATAGGTCTATTGAAAGGATTTGTACACTTTAAAGTTTTTTTCGGCAATCTAACATTTCTATTACTACAGATTAGTTTGTGGTGTCATCTACTTGCCATATGAATCATCAGATCTAGCTTTTTGTCACATCCACTTAGCTGAGACGTAGCTTACCTCACCTGTTAGAAGTATTATTCAAAGCTAGCTTAATTAATACTCGTTATCTTTAATATTTCGCAAGCGAGGAATAATTATTCAATATGAGATTGTTTGCATGTTTACAAAGCATTAAATTTTTGTTTTTATTTTGTTAGTACATTTCAAGGTACTTCAGAATTTTTCAACAAATTTCTTAAATTATTTTTGTTTTCAATTCGGTTGTATTTTTATTTATTTTATTTTTTTTTTTTGCTAAGAAAATGCATTTGTTATTGCTTTTAGCTTTTAGCATGACTGTTGTTGCTGTTTTTTCCAAAAAATTAATTACAAACTGCAGACAAGTTGCATTAAAGTATGAAAAGTGTTGGAAAACTTTGTTCTTTGTACTTTGTTATTGCGACAGAATACATATTGACGATTTTTGTTTTTTACAAATTTATTTGCTGAAAAACCAGTTTGGTTGTTTTTCTATTTTTCTATTTCTCTAACATTAATTGATATGAATATCCAAAAAAACAACAATTTTTTGGTGGTTTTTTTTTTGCTTACTTCTTACTGCTTGCAATTTGTGTTTTTTTTTGTTTTTTGATTTGTTTGTCTTTAAACGACCTACTGCACATAAGCTTATAAGTGCAGACGGGCAAATAGAAAAACAGACACATATACATACATAAATAATTTGGTGTATTGCGAGTATATCGATAGAGTCTCGTTTTGTTAAGCGCAACGTTGCAGTGCTTCGTGTTTGCTTGCTTACTTGTGCTTGCTTGCTTGCTTGCATTAGATTGTAACTCGGTGCTGCTGCAAAGTGCAACACATACAATTGAAACGATTGTGGATTGTGGAGCACATACAATGCAGCAGAGTGGAGTGCAATGCACAAAACAAAAAGAAAAAACAAAAACACAGCAGCACAGCGTACACACAAATAGCTTATACTCGTCGTACGAAAACAATGTTTTTCATTTTGTTTTTCTTCTAACTAATATCCGTCCTTGGCTCGTCTGTTCAACTTTGTCCCACTTATTTCATTTGTTGGCTCCTAACTCAGCTATGCGTGCATGTCTGCCTGCT